TTTCAAGGACTAGCTTGTTGAAGTTTTATCTGTTTTCTATTTTAATTAGAATAAAAATTTTCTTTTAAAGAAGACTTGAAAGTCATTGCCATATAGGCTCTGAAGAGTTATCAGCTTTTTGAACAATACATAATGTGATGAAAGCAGAAATTCTAGATAGGTAATCTGCCATTAGTATGTTGAAGCATTTAAGGAGAGTAGAAATGTAAGGGGGGAGATGAGCAGTGGAGAGAATAGCCATTGTCGTGGTCCAGGTTCAAAGTAATGATGCCTGGCCTGTGCTACAGTAAAAATGCAGAAATACAGATAACAGCTGTCTTGGACCCATATTCCTAGAAACAAACCCTGAACAGAAAAATCAAATGGCAATGATTACTAAAAAAAAATAAATAGGTAGTTCTTTCAAATGTAAATAGGAAGGGATTTAGGGGAACAGGGCAGAGAAGCCACAGAATGAGATTTCAGGTGAAGTCAGGGCTCAGCCTTCTCTGGGAGGGGGTCCATCTGAATGAAGGACTGGTCTTTCATTGTCTGCATTCAGCCTTTGCCAGTTAAGCAGGGGGGTGGTGAGAGGGACAACTGGTGGGAAGGAGGGGAAAGTGAGAGAGGGTGAGGATAGAGAAGACTCCCAGACAAGTTTGAGCCTTCAGGGCAAAGCAGCTCTAACACTTCAAGGATAATCATCTGAAGAGAGCCTCAAGTGGGGTTGTGAGGACCAAAGTAATAGAAGGGGAAAAGGAAAGGGCAATTGGAAGTTATCTTGTATCTTAAAATAGATAAAGAATTAAAACATATGAAGTATATATAGAGATAAGATGTAAAGCACTAATATGACTTACCAAGGTGTTATATTTTCTGTTCTTTCTGGTGTGAAGGTAATTTGTTTGTCCACAAAATCTAGTTGTTCCACATAAAACACGTAAAGCCCATGGCAAATAAAATGTTACAGCACAAAGCAGCCTGTGGAGTTGGCATGGCTTCTTCTATCTTTTCTCCTGTGAACACCTCCCCGTGCATAAGTGAAATTCTCTCCTGAGGAGTTGACGGTATGTGACTAGAAATTGATGGAACTCAGAAACCTGTTAGAAAGTCCACTCATTAGTACAACATAGTTGATCCATGGGCTGTGCTTTGTGTATCAATATTTGAGATTCAGGACCATCACTTGGATATGAGATCAGTCTACAAGTTGTGTGATTTTTCTCTAGCAGTTTTCAGTGTCACAGGCACATACACAAAAGAGACATTTGGGTTTAACAGAGTTGGAATTTAGCCAAGTGAGTTAATGGAGGGGAAAAAAAAGGTTAATATAGTTACATGTTGACAAGTAAATGATTATGGTGACTGACTATGGAATCTGGTGCTAGGCAGAATAAAAAAATGGGGAGTCTTGATGTGGTCAAGAAATTGATGAATTAGATATGCAAGGTAAATGAGCCAAAGTTAATGGTCAAAGAGAAGAATGCTTGAAATTGAGATTAAAGTGCTGACATTTTTTCAGATGACAAAGTCAAGGGTAAGACCTTGGGAATGGATGGCAAAAGGTGAATGGGAGGGTAAGATTACTGAAGCCCAGGAAGTCAGAAAAATGACAGACAGGGTGTGCAGTAGATTTATTCAAGTAATAAATTTTCCAAGAATAATGCAAGCCATAACAATTTTCAAAGTTCTCATGCTTAACCAAATAAAAACAATGGGAAATAGAAACAAAACTAACTCAGTAAGTGTCCTGAATGGATTAGCAATTAACTTCCACAGCAGCTTTATTCACTCTGTTACTTAAAATTAGGCAAATGATTATCTAAGCAACAAAAGAATTTCACTTTTATTTATACTGAACATTATATACACTGAAACAATGGCAATAAAGACATATCTGCCTGTGACAATCACTTGTATGTCACGGACATACACTGAATTAGAGTCATGAGTCTGTTCTCATTTGTTTTGTTATATTTAGTGTAGTTAGTGGTATCCTACCTTGTTCCCAAAGGAATTTCTGGTTATTCCATGTAAATATAATATTATATGGTTTTAAGACAGAAGGTGAAAGATACTAACAGAAAGATATATTCATGGAAGAAGATGGCTACCCCGGAAATGGTTTGAGCAGATTGCATGTCAATTCAGCTTATGCTGTCTCCTGTCTTACACTTACATATATATATGTATATACACTTCCGATATATATATATATATATATTCATAATTCTCATTTGTTTATCTAATACTAATCACATGACAATCTTAGAACAATACCAACATGTCCACTAATAATATGATTTCCGAAGACAGGTTTTTATTTTTATTTTTAGTTTATAAAATATTACGGTAACTTATAATATGATATAGGTTCCAAGTGTAGAGCATTATAATTCTATAAACCACATTATAATTACTACGAAAACTCTCATTTCCATTCTCCACCAAATAACTGATCCCCTTTTACTCAGTGTATTTATCCCCATCTGTACTTCCCTTCTGGTAATCACCATTTTGTTATTATAGTTTAAGAGTTTCTTTTTGTGTATTTTTGTCAATTGTATTTCTCTATTTTCCACAAATAAATGGTATTTATATTCCTCTGTCTGACACAGTTACTCTTTTACCTTATGCCTGCCTAAGTAACTCTAGGAATGATGATTATATTCTTTTTCAAAAAATATGATCACTTATTTTTAATTTGTTCTATTATAGTCCCTAGTGCATCTAGTGCATCTTGGTTGGCTAACTGGCTAGATGAATTGGTTGCCATGAATTAATGGCAGCTTTTACCATATATTAGCAGGATGAGGTGAGTAAGGAATGCAGGGTTTTAGGAGGTGCGTTATTGGTGAGCGGTGAGATGAGTGTATTGGAAAGATCTCTGAGCTATGGGGTAGATTTTTTAAACCTGACCTTCATCTTCTTTACTATAGGTAGGGAGCTTGTTAAACACAGTTATTTCATTTAGAAATTATATTTCATGTTAATTTGAATAAATTAAGAAAGTAAGTTTCAAAATACAGTGAAAATATAAGATACTATTCTTGTTTTGGCATAGCAGCATAATTGATCCAAGATGTCTAATGCTCTCTAGAAGATAGCCCAAAGATGGATGTAAAGAGTATTTTAAATGGAGGGACCTAATTTGTTTCTCCAAATGACAGAGTGTGGGTTCCTATGAGCTGGGCACTCGTGGGCAACTGTGAGCTATTTGTTGTCTACAAATCACAGCAGAGCGTTCCTTGACTACCTACAGAGTGAGTATAGCTCATATCCTGAGGCAGCCCTGGGGACGGCTAGGCCACGGTTAACTTGATTATATGACTATCTCCATAGCAGTCTTGGGATAACTGCCTGTGATAACATCAAATGCTATGCTGATGCAAATGTGTCTTGACGTATGGTTTCCATGTCGCTTTCCCTGTCCCTCATAAAACTTTATCCCCCATTCCCAGCCTACTCTCCAGGCTGTATTCCTCATACCATTGTCATATGATCAGCTTTTACTAGCCTATAGCCTTCCAATAAATGACTTGCTCAGATAGCAAGTCTTGCCTTGCAAACCTGCTCAATGACTGTTTCCTTCATCATATTCCTGCCACAAAGTGGCACCAAAGTTCCTTTTGCAACATCAGAGTATGTGTTTCTGGTTTGCAAAAAGAGCTAGCTTTGGAAATTCATCTAAAAGTCATATGTCTAATTGAATCTACAGAGTTCTGTCAGGAGAAGCATCAGCAGAAAGCTGGAAGATAGATACCAATCGTTTGTGTCACTGGGAAGTAGGGTCGTCTCTAAAGCAAGCACCAGAGCTAACTTTAGCAAAGGACAAATTAGCCAATTGGCTTAGAAAGAAGGCATCTTCTCCTGCCTAAGAAATAAAGTGTCCAGAATCCCTGTGTTTAAAGGACATTTCCTTTGGATAATTAATTTTCTGAGTCCCTAATTTTGGGGCCGAAGGTCAAACAAAATGTTATCTTCAGTCACAACTCATTGTGTATATTACTGGTTCACATCAACCTGTAGAAAAGGAAGATGTGGAAACACGGGTAAGAAAAATGGGCATCTGGAGGGACATGGAATATGGAACAAGGAAAATCAAGTCTGGAGTACATACTGTTCTGTGTCATTCTCTTGCATGAGGACTCTGTAGGTAGTCGCATTCGTTATCTAACTGTGGAAAAGAGGGACTGAGAAGAGGAAGGCAGGAAGGTGGGAGAAAGGGAAGATGCAACACACAAAGAGAGCTGGTGGGGAGAAGGGCTGGTCTGAGGAAAATGAAGTAGATAAAGCATGGAGATGTATGCGCCTTATCAGGTTCCTGCAGCCTTCTCTTGCTCTGCCATCCCCGCACAGCCTGGACTAGGCTTCCTGATTTTTCACTCTGTGCTTGGGAATACCCGCTTCTTTCCCAGATCAGTATTTCCACACTCACAATTCACTGGGGGAGGACACCATCCTCCCTCTCAGTCGCCATCCAGAACAGGGCTCCACCCTCCCTGCAGCTATCCTGTACCCCTAGACTTCACTAGCACTTCTCAGAAACCTTCTGTGAGCCCCCATTTTAAAACAGGCCCCAGGTTATATTTGTAAATGACACCTTTTCTGTTCCAGCCCTTTCCACAATTTGTAATTGAACTTGCATTTGGATGTACATTTAGACTGTGTGTTTGATCTTTCTCTCTCTCTGGTTTTGAAGCTTCATGAAGTCAGAGATTACAGTGTGTTTCACATTCTAGCCCCCCCCCCAGGTCTACTACAGAAGCATTCTGTAAAACTACTGAAGAGATTAATGAAGCATTTGAAAATTTTAATAACATCACTTTCATTTTGTTCTTTGGGCTATGAGTATGTATCCCCAGAATAACAATGACTACTGCTGTCAAAAAGGAAGGGTTTACATACTGACAGATTGTTATACCCCTCTGAAAGGCTAAAGTTTATTACATTTAAGCTGAATGTTTAAACTGAAGAACATTGAAGCATAGTATCTTACTCATAGCGGCTTGGTGTTTCAGGTTGGAATTGTACAGTATGGAGAAAATGTGACCCATGAATTCAACCTCAATAAGTACTCATCGACTGAAGAAGTACTTGCTGCAGCAAATAAAATAGTCCAAAGAGGTGGCCGCCAGACTATGACAGCCCTTGGAATAGAGACAGCAAGGTACCATGGATAAACGAGAAACCAAAGTGAATAGACTGTACACAAACAACTATTCACAGTCAAGCACATTGTAGCTTTTTAGAACGTCTACCTAACAATATTTAAGCCATTTTTGCTCAAAATTAGATTCAACTGATTAGCTAGTGGTTATAGGATGAGCTTTTTCTATAATTCAAAGTGTATAATTGATAGAAAATCAGTCAAAACATCACTGTAGTCCACCAAGTAGCATTTTGGTACTAAGATATAGTACTAGTTGAATCTCTTATTTCTTTCTTTCTTTTTTTCCAGATTCAAAGAGTCTCAATCTAAAAATAAAATGAATTAATATTAACCCACTTCTTCTCAACATTTATTTATATCTTCCCAGCTATAATTTTATAGAAACTGATAAAGAGTTATTGAAACTCTTAAATAAGAGTTTATAAGAGACCAAATTAGATATTGTCTTGTTTGAAATAAATTTCAGCGAAAATATGAAAAAAAATGGGAAGGATTTAATTGTCTGTAGTGCCTTTTCTTTCTTTCTTCTCCTTGTCTTTCTCTAAGTTCCCTTCATGAATGTCCCTTCTCCTCTCCTTCCCACAGTACCTTCACAGACGGCTTGTTATCCTCTCTGGCTGGACTTCATTTTCTAAAAGCCTACTGCACTGTCCTTTTCTCTGATCTCACTCATATCTTTTGTCTAGCTATTCCTCCCCTTAGTCACCATTAAAGCTAGTAAGTTTCTGAATAAGAACTAAATACCAAAATCACAGCAAATCAAATCTGTTGAGGATCCTTCTGTCATGTGCCTTCAACTTGTGGACTCTCACTTGATTCTGAGGAGCTAATCACCTGCACTTTCCCCCACCCTGCCTGATAAACTCACTGCTCTAAGGGATAACAGACTGAATATGGATATGCCAAAGAATGGGTTAGATGTTCAAAAGTATAAAATTGCATGTGCAGCTTTAGACTCTTAAGTGTAAGAAAAGCATGTGGTTCTAGTTATATGGGGCCCAATTGAGAGTAACCACATACAGATGGAGTAACTTTACGTTTACCTGCCCGTAGGATCACCAATTTGAATGCACAAAAGTGCACATGTTTAGGTGGAATGAATGTACCCTCTTGAATAATTGACTAAATGTGGCCACACATTCAAAGTAAATCAAAGTGTTATTTGAAAGCTCTGAGCCTGAAGGGAGCTGTGCTTTTTCCAAAGGCAACCACTTAAGTATGAATATTCATCTTTGAAAACTAACTGAAGAACACTCTGGCTGCTTTTGCTCATGCATAAATACCAGTCTGAATACCATGGCCCTATATGGGTTTTGCCTACATGTTTCACAAAGGGTATAGCTGTAGGACATAGAGTTTACTGAGTTTTGTCAACAAATAAAACTCATTAATATGATATTACCAAGTATTCTTGCACATTAGTTTTTCATGTTTAAGCATATTTTTAATTGCTCTTCATTCCTTTGAAGGAGGGCCAGTTGCAAACAATGTTTAGAATACTTTATTCCACTTTTAGTATCTCTCTGTTCAAAATATTTTTTGTGTTCCATGATCCCTATTCCAATCTTTCTTTCTTGTCAACATGCTCACAGGATTAAACCATAAGGCCCAAATTCTCCTGCTCCAAAGAAAGGGATTTGGGAGGGATATTTTAATGTTTAAAAGTATGCAAGGAAGTTAATGCTTAATTCAAAGAAAGGATACTAAATGTCGGTATTTGGAGGTCAAGGAAATTTGATAAGGAATAAAATTGAAACAGAAAGAATATTTAGGAGTTATGCTAATGAGTGTTCTTATGTTTTACAAAGCTAGTTCTAGTTGCAGAGTCACCAGATTTTCTAGAAAGTTCTTTCAATCATCTCCTTTAGCAGATATTGATTCAGTTATGGCCTTGATCTTTGATATAATAAGGAAATTTTAGAGATCCTCTAAGGAATTAGAACCATAAAAAAAGAAAGACTGAATCTTGTCTGATATCCACATCACTCATTGTAGTCATATAGTTCTATGTCTGATTGTCCCCATGCACAGAACACTCAAACCAAACTATCTTCCCTCCCTTCCTCAGAGAACTTCCAATATGAATATCTGAGTAGGTATGGGGAAATGAGGGCTAAATCAAAGTGTCTGCCAAAAGCAGGAGAAAGGGTGCCCTTCACACCAGAAAAGGAGTGTTTCTAGAAAAAGGAGTGGTTTGGAGAGTATTTAAGATCTGACCTTCTCTAAATCTGATGTCTGCTCTCAGTCACACCCTTCTTTTGAAGTTTCCAAAGAATTCAATATTGCTCGCTTTTATATATGGGAAATGTGATGATTAGCAAAATGGCGACCTCTCCATCATCTGGAATAAATCTAAAAATATTTCAAAGAGTGGTCATCATACCTCCCAGCTTGAACAATGGGTGTCTATGATGATCTTGGAGGGGAAGCACTGGGCTACGAGATCTGTCAGGGGTTTTGTTTTGTTTATTGTTTCTACCTGATTTGGGGTGGTATTTTACTTGCTTCTCTTGTGTCTGTGATCTGTACTAGGAAGGAAGCTTTCACGGAAGCCAGGGGAGCCCGAAGAGGGGTTAAAAAAGTCATGGTAATTGTGACGGATGGAGAGTCCCATGACAATCACCAACTGAGTAAGGTCATCAAAGACTGTGAGGATGAAAACATTCAGCGTTTTTCCATAGCTGTAAGTACATGGCTAGAGATGACTCTCCAACTCCTGTGAAAGGAAAGTGTGTGTTTCAATTGCCAGTTTATGAAAGTGACACAGACAGGTAAAAAGGGAGAAGCTTCTCTTTAAGGAGGTAAACTCCGCAACGGCAGAATTAGTCTTGCCCCTTTGTATTCTCAGTGCCGAGCACAGCACCAGGTCAAACAAAGACTTAATAATCATGGAAAAAAAGGAAGGAACAAAACATTAAAGATAAAAACAAGAAAAAGGAGAAAAAAAATAAGAAGGAACAAGAACAGTGGGGAAAGAGAAATGCATTGGACTATGGTGATGACACACGGGTGATTTGGTGATTGGAGGCCCACGGGGATTACAGCTGGGATAAAAAAAAATGCACAAAATGATGTAAAAATATAAATTACATATAAAAAAATAAGGAAGAGAGGTGGAGATAAAGAAAGGGACAAACATAGGGAGAGAACGAGTAGAGGGTAGGAAGAGGGAAAAGTAGAGGAACAAAGAGTAAAAAAAGGAAAGGTAAGGGAGAAGAGAGGATGAAGGGAAGGGAGTCAGAGGAGGAAGAGAAGGATGGAGAGAGGAAGACAAGACACATAAGGTAACATCCTGCTAATTAATAATTTTTGTCTGCAATGTGTAAAAGTAGAAATCTGGACATAGCTCTGTGTACTAGCACTCAACCATTATTTTCCCATACCTACAATTCTTTACTTTGTAGAAAAGAAGTGAAAGTCATCTACTATTTGTCTACCCTGGCATTCTAAGTAGGTGAAAATATAGCTGTGTGGCAAGACTTTCTTATGGGGTTCTGCAGCTACCTCGGGTATTACTTCTTAATATCATTAGTGGAAAAGGAGGAACCAGACACATCATTTGCTTAATGCACCCTGTGCACAGACATGTCCTCCACACCTCTGGTCCCTAAACTGTGCCATCAAAGTGAAGCAGCCAGCAGCTAGAAAAATAGGCTCTTTCTGTGATTGCATTAAGCTGGACAAATGCAGTGGAGGAACAGGAGTGTGGGAGGACCGGAAATGTCATTTCCTTTGGTTCCAAGGAAAATCCTAGCCTGCTGTTAGTGATATAGAAAATACTGCATAGAAAGTATTATGGCTCTTTCTAAACAGACCTATATAAATACAAATCAGCCCACTATTAATAACTTTTATCTATAAAATATGTATGGCTTACTGAAAACATACCAGTTCTATTAGCAGTTATTTTCAAAATCAAATTCTCAGTAAACTTGGTTAATTCAGCTGTCAGGGCACTGCCCCATGGAGAGGAACACTCAAAACAGACACACAGACGCCACCATTCGAACAAGGAAAATAATTTAAACTGCCACTTATAAGCCACAGTGGTTTTTCTTGGACCTTCGGCCAACATATCATATTTTGTTCTGCACAACACCCCAAAGAAAGTAGGCCAAATTTCACTTTCCTTCTTTTATGAATGAGGAAGCTAAGAGTCAGCAGAAACGTGGCTATAAGTCACAGAACCAAGGCTCCAGATTCTACCCTTGTCTCTCCTATGGCCCTCTCCTATGGCTTTCTTAGTCATTTAAGATTCTGGTCCAGGCTCTGTTTTCTCCTTCCTGCTGTCATACAACTCTGGATGTTGTCACAGACCCATGCTCATATATTTCCACTCTTTCTCCCAGTTCTCAGGGTCACCAGAGTCTCCACTTCATCCTCCCTTTGTACCAGAGGAAAAAGACACCAGCACAGAGGCAATGATCTCATACCATTATGTGTTGCAACCTTAAATGATTTTCTAATAAAAATCATTAGAAAATGATTCTTCTTGGAGAATCAAATCATTAGAAAATGATTTTCTAGAAGTGAAAGGTAGAAAGGGATGGGAGAAGGATAGAGATGCTATTTTAGAGTCAGTAATAACTTTGTTCAAATTCTGTCTGCTTTCTGCTGGCTCTGTGACTGGATAAGTTGTCAGTTTCAGTGTCTTCATCTGTAAAATAGGGTAATTCTCTCTCTCATACACACACACACACACAGAATCAGTAAGATAAAGACTGAAAACATCTAATTCAATATCAGAATAGGCAATCATTTAACATTATTTTCCTTAAGAATCTTTAACTCAAGATTTTGTAACAAGGAAAGAATAAAATTACAGTGCTTTAGAGACAGATGGAATCTATCTTCAGATGGATGGACTATCTTCAGGTATTCCCCCTAGACTGAAACTTGTTCTCAATTTCTTCAACCTCACCTCTGTAGGATGTGCTTTTCATCTAAAGGAAGGGAAACCTTAATATAAATAGTTTTTAATGAGTCAGAATTCACAGTCACTGGGAATAAGAGTTGCTATCACTTGCTAACTGTCCGACTTCTTCCAGAACATGTGTTCTGCCACCACTGGTACTTTACATTCAGGCCATGAACTGAATTAACCATCAGAAGCACTGGCAATATCAGAAAAACTTCACTGGAAAGATCCTTCTTCTCAGTGATCAACCTTTTAATCTTAAGTGTATCTTGTATCACTTTTACATTGTATCTCCCACATATTCACATATTTTGTCCTTAAGTCACTGAATTTCCCTTTGTTGGGTCCTTACTTGCTAATTTATGCTTTGCCTCCCAACTAGTGAAATAGTTTATAATTGCATTAATCTTCCTGGAGAATCAAAGCATATGAATTTCTTGCCCATTTTAACCAATGAATTATTATCAATGTACACTTTGAAGTGGTATACATAAAAATGTAAAGAAAAAGTTAACTTTTAACAGTTATTTAACAGTTAACTTAACAGTTATTTGCTATAGTTCCCCCCAGTGAATCTTGTATTTTTTATTTTGCTAAGATAATTATTTTATGTCCTCTCTCTGCATTCACCCAAAGTTCTTGGACATCTGTTGAGGTTCATTTCACACTTCACATTTTTAAATATACTCTGAGTTCTAGCCAATTATTACCTGTACTGTGCCTTTCATTCCATCTATTTTTACCCATCATTTGATCCTGACACCACAGAGATTCATTTTGAGAGGAAACAACACTCCAAGATGATTACTTATTGAAAACATAAGCCCCCTGATATAAAACTGCAAACATGCTTCATTAAATTTCTGAATTTCATAAGGTCTTGAGCTGGTTTTAGTTCTCACTATATTATTTCTACCTCTGTCAATTAAGAATAATACATATTCGGGCGCTTGCTGGTGGTACTGCAAGCTCGCTGCAGTGTGAGTTCGATCCCGTACCTGAGGTGATCCACATGGCGCTGCAGACCTCTCCCGTCTCTCCCGCTGCTCTCCTCGGCGGTGTACTTCCTTGAATTGCCGGTTCTGCTCTCCACTCTGTCTCTGGTGAAGCATCTCACCGCCTCTGCACGTCTAGCTTGTACCCTAATTCTCTATGAATAAATAAATTAATCCTTTTTCAAAAAATAATAATAGACATTCTTGTGAAGCCCTGTTTTATATTCAGATTCTAATCTTAAATGATATATAATGGGTAATACACAGCATTCAAATGAAAATAGAGAAGTTAGAAAGTACTTTAGAATTTCAGTTATTTAAGCATGAAAACCATGTACCTGAAGTAAATGAATTGTACACTTTACATTTGACTTATCTGCCTCAAGAGAGCTTCAATTCTGATGTCTATTACAGGTAATATTAGCATAATACAAAATACCTCAGCTTGACATGTTTTTATTAAGTAAAACAAATAATTTCAGGGTTTTTTTTCTATTTTCTCATTCATAGAAAAGTAATATTTTTGAAAGCTCTCAGACCCTTGGGTGCAGGATCAAAGTACATTTCTTGCTATTTTCACTTGCATTCTGTGATACAGAATAGTTCAAAACTATATGCATATCACATGCATGTGATTTTGTGATTTCTCACATTTTTTCATGTAAATATTTGCAGTTATGCATTCTTTTTATTCCTAGTAAAAGTTGATGCTGGACATGTGGGCATTGTCCCCACGACACTACGTATTTGTCTCTGTCCAGTCACCAAAGCTCTGCTAACATTTACATCACAACTGAGAACCTCGATGTTTATAATATTTCATATACAATGGCATCAATTTATAAATGAAATGGAAATTGCATGGCCATGTGCTAGTAAATCAGTATATGTTAAATAGGAACCAGAGAGGAGAGATGACTGTGTCTCAGGCCAGATGGCACATAATCTATAGAATACATCAGGTAAATCCATAGGGACTCTAGGGCTTCAGATGATGCAGTTTGTATGCATTTAAAAGAATCCCAAGCTTAGCAAAATCCTTGACAAAAACAGAGTCCAACAGTGTGCCCAGAGAAGAATGCCCGGTAGAGAGTGAGATGCTGAACACATTGCCCATGATCCTAAAACCAACCCCGGAGATATTGAAGAGACTCTAGAGCTTGAAGACTTAGAGCTGCCTCTGCCACACTACTCTGATGGGATGAGAGATCAAGTGTAAGAAAATTATCTTAATATTGTTTTTAAATAAGAAAGTTTTTTTTTTTCAATATAATTAGAGAAAGTGGCCATTGGGGTTTCCTTTCCTATCTGGATACTTCTGTACTCTCCATTAACTCACTTTCTCCATTAAGTAACTAAAGCAGGAAAAACACCAGGGGTCTCATCAAATGTAAGCAGTGTGTGATGTTTGACACTTGCTTTTAGCCAAGTAGACAGGAATGGAATTTTGTGTTCTGGTGCAACTTGGAAACCTCTGGAATAGTCCTTCCCACCTGAAGTCTGGGTGTAGTAGTGGAGAGTAAGTCAAAGCCAAAAAGCTTTCCAAGAAGTACACTAATTACTTATAGCCAGTTCTAGTTTTAATAGCTTACTTCTTCAAAGAGACTATAAGTTCCTTGCAGGTAAAATTAGAGCACTGTACCTGAGGAAACTATGTGCAAATATTTATAGCAGATATCTTCATAATCACTTGAAAGTGAAAACAACCTAAATACCCTCACCAAATATATGGCAGTGAGGCTGTGCAGTCAGCCTACTCAGCAGTAAGAAAGACTGAACTTCTAGTACGTGCGGCAACATGGACGAGTTTCAAATATGTTATGCCAAGGGGAAAGGAGCCAGACAAACACACACACACACACACACACACACACACACA